ATGTCCAAAGAAACATGAATGTTTTTTAATTGAAATTATTTTATTTTTAAGCGATTTTTGTTATGAGTTTTTGCCACGAAGTAGTAGAGAGTAAGGAAAAGATGAATTGTTAAAGAAAACACAAATTTAGATGCATAGACATAATATTTCTTAATTTAATGTACAATATATTTACATTAGCAAAATCATACATAGTTTTCTTTACTACTGAATAATTTATCCTATACTTATAAGTTTTCTTCATACAAAACGAATATAAAAATGCCAATAATTTGAGTTACTGTTAACTATCAAATGTTGTCTAAAGTGTACCTAGCACGTGCGTGGAAGAGTTCTGCTGTCCAAAATAAGATTTACTTGATTTATGCTTAAATTTTGCTAGGGCATGATAAAATTTTACAAAATATAGGTTAAGAAGTTTCAAATTTAAAGTATGTTAAAGAACAAATTCTCACATATAATCGTCCAACGATTCAATTTATCTGAAATAATTCATCTGTTCACCTTATCCAGAGTAAAGTATTTAGTTATTAACTAAAACAACATGATTACGTAGAAATGTCGATTTTAATTTAATTCCGAAAGTATCACCGACGGGCCAAAATATCTAATACAACGTATTGCAAAAGCTTAATAAAGACAAAGAAAAAATTAAATAACCAAAAAATATTATGAATATATGGCAAGAGAAATTGCAGTAAAAAAGTGCAAGGTAAGAGAAGTGATGGGAAAACAAGCCCAGCACCCTGGATAAACAAAATTCAAAATGACGACAAATAAAATCATTGACAGAAGAATATTTTACGTTCAGTAATGACTATGTACACGAAGAAAAATAATAAGTCTTCCACGAGCATAAAATTGTTAGAAATAAAAAAATATATGCTCCAAAATAGTATTCAAGACGATTTATGGTTAAGATACATAAAAATATACTTACTCACTCACGTGGTAAACAAAACATTGCCATACATAATAAGAAATATCAGGATCAAATACAAGAAATAGGAAAGTTCGTAAAGCTTTCTCAGTTCAAAAATCAACCTTTCAAAAAATAATGTAGGACAAACAGATAAAAAGTCTTGGAACAAAAAATACTCCGCCTATACAAAAAAGTTTTACATGTACAAAATAAGAGCCTAATCTGACTTTGATCAAAAACTATGGAAACTAGTAAAATAGAAATAAAGAAAAATATGAATAGACAGCATATTGTGAATAATTGTATTATTAATCTGTCAACACTTAAACTGTTAGATTTAATATTTTTTTCTAGTAACTTAAGTTATTATTGTTTTTAGTTGTTCCAAATTTAATAAAAAATCAAAAAAAGTAAACTATTTTTTGGACAATAGGCTCCATTATCTTGAATGTAAATATCTGACATCAGGGATGTATTACTCCCAGCTTTTATTGGTCCAAATTTTAAAAGTAAAACAAAATGATATGTAAAATGTGTTGGTCTGGACTAGAGCATCAATGTGATACATTTTTTTTTATTTGTTTCGAAGTCTTTAAAACAATTTACTTAAACGACAAATTCACTTTAAATGTTTGATAATACGAATATGTAACACATATGTGTCTATAAATCATAAAATAAAATTCATACATTTACTTCGTTCGTGCAGAATGGGTGAAGAATTAACAATCAAAAATGAATTAATATTATATGGAGAAAAAATTATGAACGAAAAATGATTAAAAGCTGGAAAATATAAATAACAATGTCAAATAAGGTAAAAATGTTCTTATAATATTACATACGGATAGTAAACAAAGGTAAGGTGAAAATATAATGACAAACAGGGAAACGAGATTAGAAAATATATTGAAAGATCAAAAAGTAGCATTAGAAAGAATCAGAAGTTCAGAAAGGAACACGCGCATTACAGAGAACACATAAAGTTCACCAAATGAACCCAAAACCAGCAAAAATTAATTAAACAAAAATATACCAACAACAAAATCATCCATATGACCATAGCAAGATGTGACATTAGCAAAACAGGGCTGATATGACTAAATAATTATTTTTTCTTTTAACATTAACAATCATCTAATCTTAATTTAAAAAGCAAGCAGGGAAATGTCCATTTATAGGAAGTAAACAAGCAAAAGTATTGGAAAACTTGAACTGAGTAGTAGTGTATCAACGGATATAAAATCAAAAAATAAGCATTTGGAATTTAAAACAACTAAAATATTTTCACGTTGTTTATTTGACCATTACCAAATTCATCGAAAGAGACCAAAATAATAATTGAACTAAGAAAGTAGAAAACACCGGATGTGAATATGTTAAAAAATGCGAACAAGACATAATAAGGAGAGAACATATCAAATAGAAGAACTTCTTAACATAAAGGCACATATCTATCTGAAAAGAATCGATCTCGAAGATATTCTTTATTGTTATTTTATCGGCAGAGTATTAATGAAAGGGAATACAGTATACCTTTACCAAAATTCGAATTACAACTTGTGCCTTAAAAGTTAAGTACAAAACTAGAATGCGTGCGAAGACACATGACGACTTAAGACACAAAAATAAGAACAATTTGTTTGTAGAAGAAAAAGCAGTCCTAACAACAGCTAAACTAAGAAAGTAGTAGAAACCTATCCAGTAGCAAAATGTATCTACCTGGAAGACAATGAAGGGTATAACACTGAATGGTGCATCAAGTAGCAGAAAATCTTTTCAACGTCAAATCAAATGGTTCTGAAACTGTTTTCTTGTGGCATGCCAAGTTAACTATTATGTTGATATGGAATTAAGCCGCAATTGATTGTAATGATAATTTTTCGACTGTTCTAACAACCATTCAAATTTCGTCATTTTGTGTCATGTAGAACAATTTCACCCAATCATGTCAACATTAGACTGATAATTGCATTCAGTGCAATTTTCAATCCCTATGACAATACGATCGAGTTTGATAACTTCATCCAAATAAATTTCAAAATGTCACGTTTCGGCAATGAGAATGTTCAAAGTATAAATTAGAATTCTATAAAACCATACTTGAATCTCGATCAAGAACACCACAAGATTATAAATATTATGCGTGGTAATAGATCTGCTATAGTAGAGAACAGCAACGAATCTAATGTTAACTTAAATTTTAATAATTGTACTTTCACTAACTGTACTTTTAATAAATAAATGTTTCGTTATGTTGAGTTATGATTTTTTTTTTCGAAAAATTATCCGCCGAATATCCTTCGGACATTGATGAATGCCTCATAATTTCATGACAAATTTCTCAAGCTCGTTGCTTGGTAACAGCACTCAGCCTTCGGCTTCGTGCTGTTACCAAGGAACGAGCTTTCGATTGTCATGAAATTATCTCATCTGTTATCAATGTCCTAGAGATATTACTACTGAAAATTACATTTTCTACAAAAATGTAATTTTTAATTTAATTAAAACATATGTAATTCTCATTGCAATTAATTGTGGCTTAATTCTTTATAAATATAATATTTATTAAATCAAATCTCAAAATTGCACAATTTAGACCATTCAAAGAGAAATCCAAAATATAGGCTCATGTAACTGATAACTCAGATAACAGATTGGCAACAAATATGATTCAATAGGAATTGGTCATTTTATTAATAAAATCTAAAAATTCATTGTATGAAACTACGAATCGATATTTAATGAAGGAAAACATTTGAACTCTTCTGAATTTCATGTGGAATAATGACGAAGAAGTTTTAGTTTTGAAACGTATTTAAGATATTCCTAAAGATTTTCACAGACCAATAAGTAGAAATATTTTGATGAAATTTGACTTTTTGATATATAAATTCATCTATATCGAAAACAAATTATTGGCATAATTTTATACTGATTATTTATAAAAAGTTTACAGCTGGAAGCAATTGTTGTGGTATTATTTAATATTTAATTGTGTAATTTTTATAATGTAAACTTTCAATAAATATTTTTCATCTCTACTTATAACATACAACTTATTGACATCTATTCTCTTGTCTAAGTTTTTTAGAATGAGTTAATGTTTTCTTGGCAATTAGAAGTAGAAAAATTCATGTGAACCTCGTATATAATCTTGTTAAAACCTTTAAAATTATTTTATGTTAGGAACTTGGACCCTACATGAGATAATGATACAGACAGACACATTTAAGGTTAACTACACAGCGGTGCGTGGCAGTTTAGACTTTATCTCGCGTAAAAAATTCATTTCTAAAACGAAATAAGCCTATAACTTTCATATACTTAGTTACCGATCATAGAGCTTCGTAACTAGGTACTGAGCTTGTTTCTAGTTCCCCAAAACTTGCATGAAAACGATGCCTTTTGGTGTGATACAAAAGAAAGCGAAGTTTTTAAAATGTGCGTCATTAACACAGTCTGAAACAAATTAAGTACTAAGATTTTTAAAAGGGTGAGGGACCAAAATGAGACAAAAACTGCATGTATAAATGTCAAAAACACTTAATTCTGTAGTATTATTGCAGCTATAGTATTTAACATTTTCTGTTCAATATATATTTATACTTTTAAGATGGACTACGTAAAGAGACGATTTTAGCAACTGCGTAGGTCTGTTAGATAGAATTTCCTCGCATATGCTTTCACTCGACATAAACAGCAACTAAATAATAATAGTTTATGACTTAAGCCAATAATAAATATTTTTTACAATATGTAAATGAAATTAATTTCTATTCTTTTAGTCCTCGGATGAATAGTTAACATTGTAAATAGTTGTTAAGATTTTTTTAAACTAACTTTTTTCAAAAAGGTATTGAACTTAAACAAAGAAATATTGTCCAATAATATATATGTAAATACTTCTTGGTCGATAACAGCCTTTGATGACCAAAAATTTACAGAGCAACAGTTTTCTCGCGAATTTTGTCTTGGTTTTAGGGAAATAGATACTGAAATGCTGCATTATTTTTAGATGTAAGTCCAAACTGTCACAAAACCTGGCAATTAAATAAAACGCTTCTTCGAATTTTTTCACCAAAATATATTTTCTATCACATCAAATTTTAACTTAATTTACACAAAGTCCACTATATAACATAATATTTTTCGCTAATTTTAATGTTTAGTTAATATACAATAATTGAATTATGTTAAACTTACTTATAATTAAACTTCATATCACAGTCTTATCAGAGTTCTCATTAAAAAATATTATATGTGGTGTTTGTGTTTTAAATACAAACTACATAGTCAATATATAACAACGTCGGGTCATGTGCAAAGTTCTCGATTGCTACTAAGTACAATTTTTATTGCGTAAATGGTTTTACTATAATCGACATTTCTAGTAATTGGTGTACTGACGAAATTCAATAGACTAGTTGAAACTTATAGATAATACCAATAAATACATTACTTAAAAAACTTTCGAATAGTATCCATACGAGCTCTGACCCAAAAGTATCCAACCTTCGCTCATAACTTCAAGGAGAAGATTCAGAATAGTATTAGCATGCTTCTGTTTAAATTATTTTTTGCGTTCGTTGTATTCTTATCGCTGAAAATAGCGAAGAGAAAAGAATCGTTCAATCGATTTGAAATTGGCAGAAAGTATTGCGGTCTACCATCCAGCACAACGCTGGAAAATGTCGAAGGTAAGACTAGATCATCGCTAACTGTGCGCAAACTAGATATATATCAGAGTCAGAAAACGTACTATAAGAATTTTAACCGATAATTTAGGAATGATTCGCGTATATGACAAATTAATTCCAAAATTAGCTGTGGAGAAATGCGGTCGCTAATGATGAATAATATTATTAAAAAGGTAACTACCGACGACGGATGGTAGGTTTGCGGTTAAATTCCAAAACAACAGCCTTCACAGGCGAAGCTTACATATGAGCATCTATGTTGATTGGTGTTTTTTTCTATTAATGTGTTGCTCTTTATGAATACTCTAGAAGGAATCTGACAATCAATAAATAATTTGAATTGTTGAATTCTCGCGCAGTAATAATATAATCGCCTCGTTTTTGGGCGAATAGCTAGTGGTTGCTTTATCACAATAATGCGCGAGCACATTCATGGAACCCTGTGCAGCGGTTTTTGATAAGCACAAGATGGCACACACCCGTCAGTCTGCGTAAAATTCCGACATGACACCTTTCGGCTTTTTCCTGTTTCAGTAATGTAAAGCATGTCATTAACGTTAACAATGTTAACGCAATAGTAATAGTCAAGATTTGTTCTGTTTTACCATATATTGTGAAAATACGATGTAAATAACCAAAACAAAATAATTGTATAATTGTATTTTGTGTTCATCGCTTCTTATCGCTGAAAATAGCCAGGAGATAAATTAATCGTTCACTCGGTTTAAAAATGGCAGAACGTTTGAAAGTGACTCGCATTACGGTCGACCTTCCAGCACAACGCCGGAAAATATCGAACGTGAGACTGTTGATTGAAAAAGATCGCCGCTTAACTGACAGATATCTCAAAGTCCGAAAACGTACTTCGAGAATTTTAACCGATAATTTGAGAATGATTCGCGTGTGTGCCAAATTAATTCCAAAATTCGCTTAGAAGTCGCTGTGGAGAAATGAGGTCGCTAATAATATATTATTAATATGGTCACAGTTGATTCTAGAGGGCAAGACTGAGGGTAAGAGAGGCCCTGGTTTAACGTCAACTGATCTATTTCAAGCTGCTGTGAATAAAATAAGATGGGTCAATGTAGTCGCAAACATTTCTAGAAGATAGGCACATTTAGAAGGAGAATATGGTCACTACTAACGATAGGTGGTGGGTTTGCGGTTAAATTCCCCAAAACAAAATAACAGCCTTCACGAGCGAACCTCGTTGATCGTTTTCATTATTCATTCATTCGAATATTCACCCTTTTTGGGAGACGAGCCAGTGGTTGATTCATCACAATAATGCGCGAGCCCATTCATCAAACCCTGTGCAGCAGTTTTTGGTAGAACACAAGATGGCACAACCCCCGCCAGTCTCCATACAATTCCGATATGACACCGTATGACTTTTTCCTGTTTTCAAAAACTGAAATGCCATTTAAGAACAATGCTTCGACGATTCAAACAAATTCGCCAACGGTGCTGTAGACCATGAGTCACCAAATGGAAGGACCGCGGTGCGCATCCGGACCGTAAGCTTATTTTTTGCGGACCGCCGTTAAATTCAAAATATAGTAATAAAATTATAGTGTAAAATTATAATCAAATCTAAGAAAGAAATGTTCTGAGGCTTCTTTACGCATTTCCTGGACGCTTGCCAAACATATGAAGCCATAAAGTGACGCGGCTATCGTTAAAGAGTGTTTTCTGGAAGCAGGAAATTCTTTATTTGCAAATAAAAAGGATGTTGTCGATACTATTCAGCGTATTTTAATATCTATTACTTCAAGCATACGGAATACACAAGTATTGACGGATGAAACATAGAAAACGTTAAAACAAATTTTGGCTGCCACTGAATATTTTGGTTTGGCACTGGATGAGTCATGCGACATTACAGATACAGTACAGCTTGTCATTTTCGTGCGCTACCTGTACAGAACCAGTGAAGACTTTGTTGAAGAACTTTTGACTATTTTGCCAATGTCAGGAACTACTACAGGAGAAGATTTACACAGGGCTGTGGTGGACTATTTTGGCAAGGATACTGTAGATTTAAAAAAGTTATTTCAATCCCCTCTCTCGTCCCCCCCGTTACCGTTACCCACGGTAACGCCCCCTGGCGTTACTGGGGGGTAACCTCTCCCCCCGGTTACGCCACTGCCTGGTTTAGTGCTGAGTGACCCAACCGCGTAAGTGTAGTAGGTTTTCGAAACGGACCCTCAAGGAATATAATTGGTGACCCCTGCTATAGACCATTACAAAAACTTAATTTCAGAACTATTCCAGTGATGTACAGAATGCCATTAACAATGTTAATACAATAGCAATTACTCAAGATTTGTTCTGTTGATCATTTATTTTGAAAATAATGATGTAAATAACCAAAAGAAAACCTTTGTTGACTTTTCGTATTTCAACTCGGTGGCTACTGACTATTTTGTTGTTATTAATTATCAAAATTTAGTTATTTGATAACAGCTTTTTACCATTCTAGCGATTATAAAAGAAGTAATACTAATTTTATTAATTACTATTTTAAGTGAGAATCGACCGATATAAATAAAGAACACAAAAGTGGAGTTTCGGTTTTAGATCAAAAACCTTGAGGTCAAAAAAATTCTAAAGCCATTGTCAAAAAAACTTAACAACCTTTGATACAATAACCAAAATACAGTTTGTTGAACACGGTATTTTGACAATTGTTTCCAAATATATTTTTTTGACAACTATGTGTTGACTTCAATTAAATAGGTGTTAACTAGGATTCAATTTCCCTATGTATGTGATATTCTTTCCATAATGATTATAATACTGACGATTTGGGAAGTGCTAAATTTGAGAAAATATACATTTTGTACCGAGAGTCAAGACCATTGCACACAACCAGTTTCTGTATTCCCTTGAAGGTGCCTTGTCTGATAGTTATAAAAGGTTCACAGAATTCTTTACAGCATAATAATACTTGAAGCCTATGCACATTGAGATGCAAAAATGACCGACACAGTCCTAAAGTAGGTACCTAAATTTTGGTTCCAAATTTTCTACTAAGTATATTTTCATTTTTTAGTTAATACTATATATTTAAACTGGCCGTCCTCGTTATTTTTTATGTTTTATTCCATTGGTTGCGACTGGTTTCGAATTATACCCGGTTTATACCTGGCGTTAAGAATTGCTTTATTTTCTTTATAAAAGAAATATCCTAATAAGATACCTAACCAGCTCTAAATACTATAAAAACGAGAAAACTACTTTATAGAGTAGTAAAATAACAGTATGCTTTAAATTTATAATTGAGATAGCATTATGTTACTTCAGAACTCTATTTTTTTAAATATATTTTTTTATCAAATTTGACAATTTGGATAATTTTCAACTTCCCCAAACATTCTCACAATTTTTACTGTTTACCTTTACCAGTATCCCCAACATTCCCGTTTTATTTACATTGAGCTGATTATCAGAACTGGTTTTACAGGCCATTTTATATTGACTTTTATTTTAGTAAGTACTCAAAGATTACTACTTCATTGACACAATGATAATACTTGGAAAAAAGACGAAAAAGTCCTCGAGCATAGTACTCACACACTTATGAGCAGAAAGTTATAGACCGATAATTGCACAACAAGTTTTGAATTTAACAAATATTGTTAAACTGTGCTTCCATTTCGTTTTCCCCAATCCTTCAATTTCAAGAATAGAAGTGCCATTTTCATATTAGTAAATCCATTTTATCCATTATATAGACTGTTATATAATCAATAATATATTTAAAATCAATTTATTAAAAACAAAAATATACTCAATTCAAATAACTACATTTAAATAATAATTTAACACCGTATTCGTAAAGATTTGTACATATATTTTTTGGTTATTAATGCCCACTAAAATCAATTAAAACGATCAATAAATCAATATAAATAAAAACTAGGAATACTAACCAAACTGATATAGATGGTAAATATGACAAATTCTCGCTAACAAATTCGTTATTATATAGTTATCACAACGAATATATTCAAGGAAAATTATTGCTGAATGATGGCAGCAGGAAAAGAAAATCCAATGAATACAATTTGAAGTTATACCTGATAAAATATACATAATGCATTAAGAAAATGGCACCTTTTAGTCTTGAAAATGATTCTTTCCCATCTAAATCTTAGCTATCTCGAACCAATAGAATAAAATACTTCTGCCACTTATTCTCTTCAACGCTATATACAAACTATACAATATAATTTGATTTAGACCTTTTTCATAATCAAATAACACGATTGTTGTCGTCTTTAGGTATCACACTTGTTCACTCACTTGTGTCCGATGCGCGGAGTACTTAATAGAGGAGAGAGAATGAATAAGAGAGTGAAAGATAGAGATAACAAAGTTCTCTTAACTTTCTAGGCTCATTCGAACAGGGCTAAAATGTCGTCGTTTGTCGACGTATTGGCTTGACCCGAACTACTACCGCTAGACGGTGGAGTGTTCAAATCCGGTGGGTCTAGATAAGACAGCAGCTCCATTGGATCCACACTGTCTGGTAGTAACTGAAAATAAACATAAGACAAGGTTAAAATAAGATTCAAGTAAAACTATGAGCTATGAGCTATGTAAGAGGTTTCTGCTTAAATTTTGACACTGACAAATAAAAACTACTATGAGCTCGCCTTTACTGTCTATGGATTTTTGACTCCAAAAAATCCCTTATCGGATCTAACCTGGGAGTAATTCAAATTGTCGCAGTGAAGACTGACGTGTTTTCAGTGGTTGTTTTTCCACAGTTATCTGATTATTTCTCTATCAAAAAAGTGGGCAAGGTAATGAAGCAGTAAAAAGCCCAATACCGACCAAATTTTTGCAGTAGGATGGATCTCAATGAAAGTTGTTTCAATACAAATTCAATACAAAATCTAACGGTGATTGTATCCAATGCCGCTTATGTACTGGACGGGCGTTGTCTCCTGAAGTTTTGTGGAAATTCGATACACGTTCTTGGGTGTTGGCACAGTAGTTACTTGGGTGTTTTTGGGGTTGTTAATCACGAATATCCTGAGGGTGATGGTCTCCGATACCCAAAACGGGCCTCTAATCCTGGAGTTTTGTGAAAATTTGATACAAAGTCAATGCAAACTCGCTACTTAGTGGTTTTTGGGTTCGCTTAACACTAATATCTCGTCGGTGATGGTATCTGAGGCACCTGGTGCCAGAACGGGTCTAGTCTCCAAAGTTTTGTGGAAATTCGATATAATTTTGGGGTCGCTTATCACGAGTATCATAATGGTGATGGTCTCCTATGCACAAACTCCAAGAGACCAGCCCTCTCCTAACTACAAGGTGCCTCGGACACCATCGCCGACATGATATTAGTGTTCACCGACCCCAAAAATCCCCGAGTAATGGGTTTGCACTGATTTTGTATACAATTTTCAAAAACTTCTGGAAACGAGGCTCAGGTGCACCCATGTACCTCGAAAACATGCACTTTGGAAAATGCATTTTCCTTATTACCAGAAAATTTTGGTAGGTTTATTGCTTCATTGCTTCGCCCAGTGGTACATTTTTATAATGGTGGGCTGAACACAATTATAAGATAATAATATAGAAGTTTCATATGCATCCTGATGGTGTATGTCACCTGTCACCAGATTATAGTTTATTGGAGCACCGTGGTACATTTTTGAAAGCATGCGATTGGTCTTAACTTCCCCTGATCTAGTAAATCCTTTTAGTGAGAAATATTCTTACTCATATCCGATTGTAGACGACCTTCATGAAATTCTTCTCCACTTGAAGAACCAGTGAAACACTGTGGGTTGTGTTGTTGCATAACGAAGTCGAAGCAAGTTGATATCAGAGTTAATGCCCTTTCAGTGATGTCGCGATATCTCAAAATTTAAATAGCAGCCCTCGTAAAACAATTTTAGCATACAACCATTTCAATACTTACATTAAGTGCCTCTTGTCCTGTTCCCTCTCCGTCAATAACAGCCGCAGGATCAAAGTTAAGATCTGAAGGTATTTCTGGTACAGAAGTATCGGCATTCGTTCCACCTCCCGATACCGATGCAGGACCTCCGTTGTTTGATCCACTACTGGTATTGTGGGTATCAGTAGACGGTGGCGGCACACTCGGGGGACCCGTCGTACCACCGCCCGGTGTATGCGCGGATCCAGGAGTACCTCCTCCTGGAGTGTGTGGCGTGTGTGGTGTATGAGGTGTGTGGGGTGTATGCGGCATCTGTAATAGAATAAAAAATTAGTAATTTACAAATCAAATGATAGTACTGCATATTAGAATTAAAGGAAAGCAGAAAAATTTAATATTAACTTTGTATTGACCAAATATCGACCACTAACAAAGCTAAATTATAAACAATTGTTTACGCCACTAGTTTATAGAGGTAATTTGATTCAACTTCACTTTAAGGAACTGGAAATAATCTTAAAAATAAACATATAAATAGCTGTAAAAGATACGAAATAGATCTCTAAAAAGATTGGGAATCTATGACAAAATAAAATCAATAATGAACAAGGCAGGAATAATCACCTTTTTATAAAAAAATGATACAGATGAAATGATAAAGATATAGATATATAAGAAAGATATAGATATAGATAGTAGGATAACAATGCGAAATAACAATGCAGATACACAATATAGTAAAATGAGCAAGTTTAATGGTAAAGTAGAACGAACTTTAGATAAAACGCATTCGAAATGTTTCAGTTAATAAATTTTATGCAGTCGGATAAAACTTAATAAAATTTTTTTAAATTTCACAATGGTGTCTGGATAAAAAAATTATATTTCTCTGGTTTTTTTAAATACGTTCCAAAAAAAATCTAATCCTACTTTTTCAATACTATGTCACAACTATTTTCACATTTTCTCACCTGCTCATTTAGGCTCTTCTCCATCGCGTTCAATGGGTCCAGGGAATTAACAGATTCGCTGAGGTGTGAAAGTGGTCCATTACCGCTCAAATACTCGTTAGAACTCGAATAAGTATTATTGTACGACGGTGGCCCACCGTTCATCATCGAACCACTGGCGATACTATTCATATCCGGAGGTAAATAAGGTGACATTGCTTGCATATCCCAGTTGTTCATAGTCGGCAGGGTCATACTTCCTGGTGACATGGCCTTATTACGTTTGCCTCCACTACAGGAATCATTACCTTCATCTTCCATCTGAAGAAAAATATATTATGTTATGATAGTGAAGCTACAATTACGTTGAATAGAGAGTAATAGAACTACAGTACTAAGAATGTTGTGAGATTACAAAATCATTTACCTTGATTCCAGGCATGTTGCCTTTGGCAGCCTTCCAGTTTGCAGAGCTGTCAATAGTGACTTCCTCCACTTCCGATGTACTTAAGGTATTCAAAATGCCCCACATATACTGGTCAACTTCTAAACCTTCCAATTGTGCAGGTTTACTAGAGAAGAAAAATTTAATAAGTAACATGGAAGTCATATAAAATGTGATATATACGAGCAAGGGGCGGATCCGACTCAGTGAGTAAGTTTACCCCCAAAACGAAAAACGCTATTACTGATATTTTTATAGATACTTACTTGCACACCGGACACCTCCAAGCTCCCCTTTCACAGTTTAGCTGCAGGTATGACTCCAAATCGAAGCATTGTATGTGTTTGCACTCGTGTCCCCTGGCCGGTAGAGTTATCCTCTTGAATGTAATCGGGCATTTCACAGAAACTTTCAGCGCCGTCTGCTCTACTGCGTCTCTATCACCGTTACCAGTTGCTGAGCTACCTGTGTTACTGAAATTTCTCTTGATCTTGGCAATGCAGTGGTCGGCTGTTAACAAACGTTTCCTGAGCAAACCTTGAAGCACAGATCGAACGCTAGGTCGATGGACAAGTTGAAGAACGAAAAGATGGGACTGAAATAAAATAAATACGAATTAAACTACATATTTATTAAAATAACCTTCCCGTTTTTATCCACTCCATAAAAACGTTTGGAGGATATGTTAAATATGGAGATATTTGAGTAAAAGTTGACTTACACAACAACACGCCGATACAGTAATCTGTATGGTGTTCCGACCAGGCTGACATACATCTTTTAGGTAAAGCGGCTTGTGTGATGTCTTATTCTCCCCCCTGTCGATGATAAGTGGTGTAGCATTAACAGAAACTTGGACTGACGCAGGCCAATTGGTATTCATCTGCCTATCCTCATGATGGAAGCACTTTAACTGAAGCTCCAAGTCTTGCCGCCACATCAATGTTTGGTGAACAGTAGGCTTAAGTTGGAACACGTGATTGCTGACTGCTAGGTTATGTTCTAATCTGAAAGGTGGGAGAATGATACCGTCTCGTACCGGGAAGGTTAGCCTCAACTCGTCATCTGAAGTAAAAAAAAAATTAATGAAATAAAGCTCAAGATTATCGCTGAATTTTTTAATGAAGAAAGTAAAACTTACTCTGCATTGGTAGTGGTGGTTTCAAGTCATTAAAATTAGGTTTAACATCCGGATTTGGACTAATGTATGGTGGCATACTACTGGCTGGAGTCAGTGGAGGTGTTGGGTTCCCTGGAATGGGACTGTGCTGGTAATTCATGTTGTTTCTCATCGCAACATCTTGCTGAAACTGTGCTGAGGAGGAGCTGCCATATTGACTGCTGGAGTTGGCATTACTACTCATGTATTGACCAGAGTTGTTTGAAGGAAACTGGCTTATAGAACCACCGTTAAAATACTGTCCTTGGTTAGTATAAGGAGGCGTGGCCTGGCGCATTTGTCTGGGATTCCCCATTGACATCATGTTACCAGGTCCAGGGCCAAAGTTACCTGTGGGACCTAACGTCTGCTGGGATGGATACTGGCTGAAGTTAGGCTGCCTCGTGCTAAAAGATAATCAGTTTTTTTAGCTGTGCTATGTATGAAATACAAACAAAAGACAAAATAAATGTTACTAATGCATGTTGGTTTTCTTTTTGTTCGTCAGTAAAGATTACTTTACGGGTGAAGTCTGGGATATATGAGAACAAACAGATCGAACATATAACAGCAAAGTATGACATCTAACAGAAAATTTAAACTGAATGAAATAGAAGAAGAATTGAAGATCAAAACAACCATGACAGGCATAAGAATAAGTCCAGATATTACAGTGAAAGAGGCTTAGACAACAAGAAAGATTGTAATAGTCGTAGTAGTAGTTTATGGAAGTCTTAAATTTAAAGGAAAGCGGAGCAAATGTATACTATAGTTAACAGTTATATAAAGGAAAATATATACCTACTACACCTAGGTATATGAAGAAAAGATGTAGCATATAAGATGTTAGTTGTAACAAAGGGTCTTGACGTAGAAACTTGTATAAATAAGTGCAGATACACAATTTACTATAAATTCTAGGGGTTGGTGATGGTTGTCAATAACATAGAAGTTTTAAAATGTTCTGGAACTATTTATGGCGTGTTTCATTTATATATTTGTTTATTTTTTTTTAGAATTTTTTTAAAACGATTTCCGAATTGGAAAACGAAACGTTAAAACAAATGTAAAGGGTAATTCTCATTACAACTGATTGTGGTTTAATCCCACATAAAATAATATGTAGCATAGAAGTTAATAATCACATAAGAAACGGTATATTCAACTTACCTGTTATATGGATACTGGCCGTTGGGATTAAAATTAGGATTCATGCCGGCAGCCATACTAGGATTCATACTGGGGTTCATGTTAGGATTCATGTTAGGATTCATTGAAGGATTCATAGAAGGATTCATAGAGGGATTCATTGAGGGATTCATTGAGGGATTCATTGAGGGATTCATTGAGGGGTTCATTGAAGGATTCATAGATGGATTCATTGAGGGAGTCATTGAAGGGGTCATTGAAGGATTCATAGGACTCATACTGGGGTTCATACTAGGATTCATTGTAGGACAGGTATTTGGATAGCTTTGTTGGGTGCCACGTTTTTGATTCATATGCATTGCTGGCGAGGGATATGGGGTCATTCTTCTGGGGTACATGGAGCTAGAGTTCGGTCCGGGACCGGGACCCTGCATGCCCATTTTAGGCCCCATGCTGCTCATCATGTTGTTGTGCATTCCTCCCATATTCATGCCCTAAAAACAATTTTCTTATTATATTTGGATCATAAAAGACTAATGCTTTTTTAATTTAGTTTTAAGTAAAAGTAGAGATTTTAAAATTGTAGAAAGGTTTACATAGTGTAATTATTCTATATAGAGATAGAAAAAGGATTGAAATATGAAACTAACAATTTTCCTGGTAGAAAACGTAAATTACTAAAGATTAGTTATTTCTGTCCAATGTGGACTAGAAAAATTGTTTCAGGCTCTTTTTAATAGATTGTGCAATAAATACCAATCTTTCAATACGTCAATACGAGCTACTAGAATATTAGTCCATAACAGATTATTTTCTTGTAAGATTACTTGCCAAAATAAATTAAGTATGTAATTTCCGATATAAATATAATGATCTTACCATGGGACTCATGCCATTCATTCCGTTCATGCCCATCATGCGTTGCTGATACCCCTGTTGGTATTGTTGATTAGTAAACTGGGAATTATCTTGCAGAGCAACAACACTGGCGGTAGCTGTGGCTGTTGCCGTCGCTGCGGCCACCATAGCTGCAGTACTCAAGGCGTTTCCGCTTCCGTAACCCTGATCACTACCATTCATAACATTGCCTGCACCATAACCACTAACACTAAAAATGAAAACAGCAGGTAAGACAGATATTTCGCCATTATTACTTTTAAAATGCGTTAAGCTCTAAAAAAATTTTTGTTACGTTTAAATACTTAAAAATCAGAATTTTTCACACCTTTTCAGCCAAATATGGCTGTTGCTTTTAAAACGTGACCTAAAGTAAATCAACCTCCAATTTTGTGATATGACACAATCTTGGTGGTTATATACCTCATCTAAAGTCTTTTTTTAAGAACGGAAAATCGAAACGTCAATTTTTAGGTAAAATGTAATTATCATTACAATCAATCGTGGCTGATACATACAAACGTACAGTATTGTGCGAATTAATGTGAACAGAGATCGAAATTCAGTTTTCATAAGTTTGTACACCTGCTGTGCTGATTGTGTCAACTGTTTTGTCAAAAAAAAACAATATAACCTCAAAACCTTATTAGTATATTGTTCAAAATACATGCTTTGTGTTTTATATCATTATTATATTTTGTTGTATCTCAGGTTATGTGCAAGTTGGTGTTATTTTCATTTATTTAACTGTGTAATCAGGTTTAACTTTTTAATATGGATATCACTCCTAGAAAAAGAGAAAGGATCGTAACACTTAGTGAGCATACGCCAATGACTCAGAGGGACATTGTAAAGAAGTGTTGTGTAAGTTTGGGTGCAGTAAATAAAATAATTAAACAAAAAAAGGAAACACGGTCAGTTGAAGTGCAGCGGAAAGGAAAATGTGGAAGAAAACGGAAGACTACTTCTCGAGATGAAGCCTTTCTTTTTTGCGATAGCAAACTTCATCCCAGAAAAACAAGTTATGACCTCCAGCAAGATTAAGAAAAGGCTGGAAATTCACGACTCAACGGTACTCAGACATCTCTTAGAAGGAGGAAGAAGAGCCGTGACACCGCAGAAGAAGCAACTTCTGACAGCGCCTATGATGAAAAAAGACTAAATTGGCCAAAAAAAATACGCTCATTGGAGTGCAGACGATTGGAGAAGTGTTATTTTCTGATGAGACCCACTTCCTAGTGCAGGGCTAGCGATCAAAATTCGTACGAAAGGCAGCCCATGAGTCACTTTCAGCTAGCCATATTAACCAAACAGTTAAACATCCCATCAAAAAAAAGTTCTGGGGCTGTTTTTCATACTCAGGAACTGGCACTCTTATTCCTATTGAAGGTATGATGAACAGTGAAAAGTACAAAGCCATGCTAGGGCAACGCTTAGCTATAGAGCTTAACAAAGTACAGGTCGAGGGGGACTGCAATTTTTCAACAAGATTCAGCTCCGTGCCATGTATCGAAGGTTATGATGAAATACTTCAAGGATACTAACATTACCCTTCTTCATTGGCCTGGGAATTCACCTGACCTTAATCCTATTGAAAATTTGTGGGCAATATGCAAGGTTAAACTGCAAAAATTTGAATATACGATAAAAACAAAAATGGTGGAAGCAGTGATTAAGGTGTGGTTTAGAGATGAAGCATTCACAAATAATTGCAAAAAACTTGTGGATTCCATGCCTAGAAGACTCCATAAAAGTCATTAAAGTAAAAGGGGGACATATTAAATACTAATTAATGAAAAGATCTCATGTAAGTGTACCTAAATTCACCTTTGGCCTAAATAAATCATATTTACAAATTAATTCTGTTTGTTCACATTAATTCGCACAATACTGTAGCATTTAACTTGAATGAATGTTTCACGTTCGCTAAGGTAAATGTTTATTCCAGAGTTGTGTTCTACTTGGCTTGATTGGGTTTCTTTCAGTTTTTATTTTTCTTCCAATAATTCGCCAATCTCAATTCGACAATTTTTGAATGCATCGAGACGACTTGTGGATGTTTTGATGAATATATGCCTAGAATTTAGTTCTTTTGGCATTTTGTGTGAGTATGTGTGCACAACTCTAAAGATCTTGTTCGCTCTTTTTTAAAAGCAGAAAACAATTAAATTACACATGGCAATTATCTAGAAGTCAATGTTTACAGTTAAATTTCGTGTTGAGCAGTGTATTATTCAATACGTTTACTCAAAGCATATTCATATTAAATTTAAACTAACAAAATTAATTACTGGCATCTAGCTTTTAATAAATGTTGTCTAATTATAGTTCTTCCCCGGTAAAAAATGGAATTATTTTCGGATTGAAAAATCAATTCCTTGGGAACAAGCTCCTACAAAATCTCAAAATCCAGTGTGTGAACAGTGACGAACATTTGCGTACAATGGTGAAGGGTGGGTCGCGGCTATATAAAAAAGGGGGAGAGCAAACAAATAATACAAGCACTATTTGTGGAGCACAATAGAGCAGAAAAGTAAGCGAGAAATAACCAGGAGTGGATTAAGGCTCCAAATTTTTGTTACAAAGTGTATCAATAAAGCTGTGAACATGGTAGTGAGTGATCAGTTTAGTTTAAGAGAATTATTTATACGGCATGAAAGATTTAAGCATGATTGGACGCAGGCGAGAGCTTAAGAGGATTGAAAAACTGGTTTTCTTAGGAAGAAACAGATCGTATAACTAGAAAACGTTTTAAATATGTCTTTTTCAATATTGAGTCCAAGAAGATTGGATCTAGAGGAATAATTAAAACAAATTAGACTGAATTTGAACTAAAAACCTCATAAAACTTTTTATTTCTGAAATTCCTTCTCATAATGAGATTTGGATATCCTCGTAGTTATGTTGACATTGCTAACTACATTTCTAAAGTGTGATGTGGTGGGATCATTGAGTTATAGAAAATAACGAAAGCTGCCACATCGCCAAAATATATGCAGCAGTTGAGGACGAAACACCAGGAAGAAATAACCTTACCATGGAAAATACACCATAATACAATTGTCATTAGAAATCAGTGATAGATGAAAGAATCTCTGAATAAAATGAAAAATATACCTACATAAAAATATTCTACAGAAGTGAAAACCATGACAGTAATACAAGAAGATTAATTCTTCTACTGATTTGGTTTCCTTATTCTAGCTTTAAAGATAGCTCATTTCATTGGAGAACAACTGCATCACTAAACGCATTCAACGTTAAGGAAACCATATCATTAATAGACATTCATATGCAATCATGCTAATCCTTAATCAAACGGTATATAGGATATAAAACAAAAGAAATCATTAATTTGGATACTACTAGAATACAGTAGGGAATCGAAAAATATCTAAAAAAATTAAAATATTATTACAAGGAGAAAAATACTTATAGCAGTGTCATGTTTAATTTTGAAACCGTTTGAATGTTAGCAAGTCGTACTTCGTGTACCGATTGAATTATTCTATATATTTCATTCGTGTAACCTTCTGACTAGAGTAGTGTTAATGTCTACTTACGTGGCCAGGACCGACAGCTTTACGTGCCCTTGCGTGCCGGGGGTAGAACCCAGGCCGTCTGGCTTATAAAAGCTAATACCATATGCACCGAGATACGACGCCACGGGAATAATGTTAATATTATTCGCCAAATAGGCTATTAAAAAAACTGTGAAAGGGAAAATAAATCCTATATGTAAGTCCATCCCTGATCGAATAGAAACAAATGCAGAATGGAAGCCAAAGAGAAAAAAAAGCTTTTTTTCATTTGGTTTAAAACGGTGGGTAAAAACAGCGAGCGAAACAAAAGGCATCGCAGAGGGCGATCATCAATTGTCACGGAAATTTACACTGGAGGGAGATGTCTGCATAGTGAAATAGTTTTCTACAGTTATAATAACTGGAAAAGTATGTTCTGAGGAGTATTTTGTGTTATATCTACTATTACTAGCAAATTGTGAGGTGAAATTGTTTTTTGAAGATCTTAAGAATTCAAAAACATGGTTACAAGAGTTACGACATGACATTGCCAACAAAAAAGGTTTTTGCTAGATGTTATTTAGTCGACATTCTATTCTAGAGAGTTGAAACTTGAACATTGATCGATAACCGTGATACTAAAGCACATACTGATGATAACGCATGGCCGAATGTCAGGCAGCCCATTAACTCTGTGTTTTGAATGGTCAAAGAGTCACTTGTATGAAGTCGTGAATAATGATCCATCTTCGGTAGTTAGTTTTCATGAAACTCCCAAAAACACTATTGAAAATTGTTATGAAAACAAATGGTTATGCATCACACAGAATTGAATTTTATAGATTAGATTAATAGTGTGATGGCGACATGATTGATTTTAAAACCCATATATCCATGTTTGATCACTTATCACAAACTTAAAAAACAACTTTGGAAGCACAATGACTTTTTTACACGAATATTTTTTTAGGATGGGCAAATTATAAACGGAAATTAAATATTATTGGCAGGCAAATTGTCTTCCAATATTAAACATTAGCGTGCAATATTCCCAAAGCTCTAATATAACGGTAATAGTCCTTGCAGAGTGTTGATAATTTCTGATTAAACGTCTGATGTAGACGACCTCCAATAGATAAAAAAGTGCCTTACAAAAATCTACTGAAATCTAGCGCCTTAGAAAAACTGATTAGAAGGTGAACAGAGAAACATTAAAAAATAGAGGAAAAAACTAATAGAGAAGAATGTAGGAAGATAATGAGTATTTTATTGAAAGGTAATTGTGAAAAACTGTTGCAGTCAAGAACAAAGTCTAAATTAAAAAAAAAAAAATGAGACCTACAAATAATTTGATTTTGATATGTACAAGACAATTTATTGTAGTTACTGATATTGTTATTATCTCCAACGATGTTACAATATTTCACAGCCTCCAACACCACAAAAACCGTTTAACAAAACTCGAAACACGAATTAATTCATCGTTTTCTTTAATCCCTATCAATGTCGTATCGTATCAGTTATGAAAATAAAAGTCTGGCTGTTATACCTTCTATTATAAGGACATTTTTAAAGAATAGGTACAAATACAATAACAACAGTACAATAAGGGTAAATTCATTATTGTTATATGGCTGGCAATCTGCTTTCGTCGTTCGTCAACCGAAATATCAATCCCTCGTTCGATGTA